GATAAGGCATAACATCCACACTTCGCAGTGAACGAACATTATTCAAAATCCTACCATCGTCAATGCTACTCGCTTCAACTTCCGGATACTGATTCAAAGTATCAGTTTCGCTTTGCCAACGTCGTCCTCGATTTGAATGCGAATCCGATAATGTGGAAGACACCATTAGTCGTTGAGGGTAACGACTTAAATTTGTGTCTGACATGCGTCGTATTCCGCAATGGCCCAACTACAAAATTTATACTTTATCAACTCTTTCAAGCAAAAACCGTTCCCAAGCGCAAACGCACAGATGCGTTACAGTACACTCACCAACATTTTGACAAACATCAAGCCATCAATCTGGATGAAAAAGGAACTGTTTGCTTAAGTGACAAAACGTACTCCTTCAAAACCAACTGAGTGTTCCGATACTGGAGTTTCATAACCACAATTTGGAACGCGCATAACCGCCATTTCAGCATAGCCTAAAACTCACTTTCTGGCGAAGAAATAATCATTCACTGCATTTGCTTATCAGTTCAGATTTGCACCAACCTTTTCCGCGCGGTCCTCTCATTCGAACAAATTCTCGACGACGCTGACTCGGACTGACTAACTTTTGTGCCCACTGCCAAGACACAGATGTCTAAATTTAATCGATTGTAGCCATTTTTCAGACTTACCTACTCTTTTTTGAGATTAGAAACATACAGTTTCAATACGCAAGATGTGTTGAAGAATTTGTGTTTTCGTACATCATTTCACTGAAGAAGCCAAATAACCACCAAGTTACACTACCACTCTGCATGTGACTTCCATGGGCCTACACGCAACTTGAAAGGTCAACCTCCCTCCTCCCATATATTTGCTGACATCCTCTACATCATTCTCTTGTAGAATACTTCATGCCACAGTCCACAAGGTATACACTAGAAGAATGCAGGCGCTCCCAATGTTCGACTCTCAAAGCGCAGAAGCACGTGGAGCTACCTTAAAAATCAATCAGCACCAAACAAGCATTTCTAACAAATCGCAAAACAAAATGTGAACGCACCCGCGCGTCGTACACTTGCTTGAGGACCTCGTAACGAATTGAACCAAGAAAAACGACAGCTTCATAACTTCTGCACCGATCTCTGGCAACCAACTCAACACA